ATAGACGCTTTAAACATCAGGCTAATTCACCGCCCTTAAGGAAGAAATGGGTGTGTAGGTAGGTGTATGGGAAGCAGGGTTGATGGTGGTGTAGTTCTTGAGGTTTCATGCCGTTTTAACGATATTCATTGCTTTTTTTCGTATTACTCATATGGGAAATCGAACGCGATCCGAATTATTTTTTTTACCTCTAGGCCAGATACACAATAGGAAAGGGGTAGTGGCGGCCCAACCGTCTGAGGTGCCGCAGTTTGTAATGACCAGTTGCACATTTACTCACATATAAGGTGGTGGATAGGTGGGTGTCACGAATAGTATACGAAATATTAAAGCCCAGCTGATATGTTTTAGCTCAATATAAAATTAATAGGTCAGTACTACAAAAAACCTGCCCCGTCATTACTTACGAACGAAGTATGAGGTTCGAATGACCACCGAGTAGCAAGACGACCCCTAAACTGTTTAGGGATCCCTGTCGGTCAAGACACATGATTTCGCCACGGGCTATGGGCCTGGGAGAGAACAAGATATCTTGGTCAGCCGGGGGAATGCAACAGACTGGTGAGGTAACCAAAGTGTGTTTTCCAACTTAGGGAAAACCGAATAGCCACCTTACTACTAAACCAATACTGAAGATATAAGTACTAAAATAAAGCGCTGAACATAAGCTATCCCACGGTATCGAGATGACAACAATTGCCATTAATACATGAGAAATATCTACCTGTATTAGATAATCGCGTTACTGCGTGAACATCAAAGTGACAAAAACATTTCCAATACACGAATACGTGTGCATACATATGTCAGATAACATATATCAAATCAATACCTGATAAAAAGTATGCAATTAAACCGCTAGCGAATAAAATTTTCTAACAATAAATTTCAAGACACCGGAGTACGACGACCGCCGAACTTCCCCGAATGGTGATGGAAGCCGAAGATAAAGGGAAGACCGTGACTAGACTGATTTAAGACCCGGTGACAGTGGGTACCCGGTAGGATGAGATGATAGTACTGTGATAGTTAACCTAGCGCCTCACAGCTTGGTTGCTGAGAATAATAATTTATATCCATTGACTGGTTATTCTTATTCTTATTCTTTATTAAATAGGTAGGGAGGTGGGTAAATTGGTAGGTACGTGATGGGGTTAGTTTCATTTGTGAGTGAGTTTTGTTTAACGCCGCTTTTATCAGACTGTTGCTTGTTTCTGTCATATCACGCCGTGTCAGTTTCATGTTGGAGGAAGTCGTGTAGGCCTCGGGTATGGTGCTGACAAACCTAGAAACATAACCAGATCGGGGTTTGAACCCACGACCATAGGTTTCTTGCTCTCATAAGGGACGCAACTCTGCACAGAGAATTCAGTGCCTGAAACGACGGGGAAACTCGTGCCTCCACTCAATATGGAACGACAACATATAAAAGACATTATTCAGATCCTACGATTCGTTATTCTGGATCCGTGTCCGGAACCGTCCGGTTTAACGAGGTTTTATTTTAGAATTTACTGTCCTCAAATGACGGATAGTAGAGCGTAAATAAGCCATACATAGATGACATAGAATGTGCACTGACAGTCAAGGCCGATGAGGCATAATAGATCTCAAACGTCGCTTGTGAAACGTCGACCACCACCTCATTGAGGAAAATACAACATTATATCTGTTTGTTGGCTGTGCAGTTACGCAGTGTCAGATAAGCCCTGGGCACGTGGGGCTCTTTGCGCGTAGTTTCCCATATAACAGTTGGTTGTCACGCAATGTGCAAAAGAGGAATCTGGCGCCTATACAAAAATGTTCTTTGTCTAGGCGCTCATTTTCCAAAGCTGCGATTTGGTCTCAAGGCCGATTGCGTTTGTATGCTATTATCCTTACAAAACTAAACAATTATTTATTTGGTTATCATGTGCATATGGTTGGTTGAGTGAACATACATATGGTATACGCAGGTAAGTTTAATGCGTGAATTACAAGCGTTCAGTGTAGATTAGACGAGGGACCATGTTAGGGGTCAACTACAGTCGAACCCCGTTATCTCGAACCTAGAGTGACCGTCTTGTAGCTTTGATATATCCGGACATTCGAGATAACGAGTTACGAATATCCAGACAGATCAAGTATGTATTTGATATTTTGGTGGGAGAGGGTAATTTCGATGCAGGTTTTAAAATATTAAAAAATAGTCACCGAAAAATATGCTGTTTGAAGTTTGGTTGCCCTTTTTGAGACAACAGTCACCCAAAGCAGTCACCCAAAACATATTCCGCAAAATACTTCAATCGAACTTGCTCGTTCCTCCAGTTTACCCTCGCCTTGTCCGTACCTCAAACTTGTTTTGAAGACAACAAACCCTTGTAAAGAAATTGTACATGTGTTTGAAAAGAATAATATTTTAGTTGTTTATTTTGTCATTACACCAAAACACATAATTAGACATTAGTCACAAGCGTTACTTGTGTCTGATGATGTTGCTTGAAGTATTGAAGCGGTCGCCTTAAGCCGCAGAAGTTTTGGGAGTTTTGTGCCTGAGTAGGGTACACATATCTATTGGGAGATTGTGTGTAATAGACTTGGCTGTTTGGCTATTCTTATTACACTGTCGACCGCATCCGTGGTCTAGTGGTAGAGCGTCCGCCCGGAGAGCGGCCGCGTCATACCAAAAGACGTTTAAATATGGTACTTGTTGTTACCCTGTCTCGCGCTCGGCATTAAGGGGCTAAAACAAGGACTGGTCGGCTCGGAGTCAGTATACTGTGTCTGAGTGGGGTATTCATGTTAAACTGCGGCATGGTATCTCAGTGAGCTAGCACTATAAATCGGCATCAGTCCGGACTAGTACAAGCAGCCACACAAACACATACACGTACTACACGTCGCTATATAAGTGCAATAATCTTTGACGCGACGTTAAACCCAATTTCACCTCACCTCACCTTATTACACTGTAGTGCTAAGCGACAGTGGAAGTTGCGTGCCAGTAATGGTATATATTTGGTAATTAAAGCTCTGCACAAGCGCCTTTGAGTATTAAGTGTTGTTGATTATTAACCGCTGTTGGTGAAATAGAGTCGATGATTCCTTTCACCGAGGCTCCACTCATGCTCGGGCTGAGTATGAAAGTATTGTTTTATGCCGCTTTGACCGCATCCCAGCCAAATCAGATAGGGCGTTGGATACCAGAAATGGTTTGGAATTTTACCATTGTGGGAATCAAACCCGATCGTTCGACGTGATGAGTCAACCCTTTAAACGCTAGGCTATCAACCAAAAAACGCGAATATAGGGTACATCATTTATAATATGCGAACATAACTGTACAAATTTCAACATCACTCTGTGTTCCTTGTCGTCTTACTCAAAAAAGAACACCACCACCAGCATAAGTGTGTATTATACATTCATCATGCAGTCAAGGTTTTATAAATTGGAATTTGCTTTGTTAGCTTCTCGAGGAAATAATGTATATAATATGAAATGAGTATGCTTCTTCACGGAACAAAGATTGTCCTGGAGAACTACCTGTCTAAATCGTAATACTTTGCCAGATGTACGAGAATTGCATTTCCACGAGATTACATGGGCTAAATGTAAAGCCCGTCAACCGAGATGTTCAGACAGCCATGTAACATGACATACCATCCATTAACTGCACCTGTTTTGTCAACAGTGTGTGTGTGCTTGGGGGAGGGGGGTGGGGTGGAGGGGGGGGAATGGGGGTGGGGGGGGGGGGGGGGTGTAGGCAGTGCTATATGATGATACTACTGCTACTGCTACTGCTGCTGCTACTACTACTACCACTACCACTACTACTACTAATATAATAATATCTGCTTTCATTTATTTTAATCTGTACATAATGGTAATAATAATAATAATACCGCTCCTATTTTGAAAGAAACGTATTCATTGTGCACACTGTTACTTATACCCATGTCAACGGATCCATGTATGTTTAATTTGCATTCACAGCTCTGGGAAGAGATATCGGGCTTATATAGGAATTAGTGGTCGATAGTGTGAGCGTCTATAACAAACATTCAGTCGTCATTGCGAAAAACCATTTCATATTACAGTCACTCGGGGGACAAGCATGAACAACGATGGAGCTAGTCTAGCCTGATACCCTCAATAGTGAGGGTTTGCGTCAACTTCCATAACCGCAGACACGTGCGATAACATCTGGACACTTAAAATGACATATGAGAACGGAAAACAGCAATTCACGAGATCTTAAGAAAACCATAATCACAATGTTAAAGGCTTTCTCAAATAACAGATCACATGTCAGTTGCACACCTGCGCAAAACAAATCTATCGTTCGCAATGGTATTTAGGTGTTTATAACATCAAAACAATATAATGATCGGTGTCATAAGATGGTTAGACCCTGTCGTTCAACGGTGGACTGGATCTAGGGCAAACATCATAATGGCTTTAATGCATGTGTTGTCTTTACAGGATCCAGTTCCGTTGCCTGTACTTAAAATGCACGCTCGACTGGCTTCCTGAATAACCAGATAACGCGCATCAGACCGACTCGTCTGTTGTGAAAGAGGAAATATACTCTCTGCTCCAGATCGTAGACAGTGATGAAGATATCTTTCATTTAGGTTTATGCATAAGACGTTGATTCGCTTAACGGTGCATGTGTCGGTTTGTGCCAGTCTGTACGTGCATCTCCGTATATATTTCACGAGAAACTTGTATTAAAGAATCTTTCGCTCCAAACAATGACGTTTATTAAGACATTTGATGTATTTGAACATATCTTGATATTGCAATAAGTTCATAACTATATTTGTTTATTGGAACTGAACACAATTCAAATTCAATCTGTGGTGAAAATACATCGGAAAAGTGCCATGCTGGACAAGCATCGATACAAGGTACCCGTATAGACATTCCGCGATCACACCCCGTTCAATGGTTAGATATGGACAAACCACATGAAACGAAAGCTTCAAATATATTCAAAGAAAGTAAATACTACTTACTCATATTTTGTATGTGAGATGCACTGCAGATGCTGATGACAGTAACTGTTTACTTCTGCACCGGTTACAGTAGCAGACGACAGGCTCACTTCCGCTATAAGGAGCAGCAGACGACACTACAAACTTATGGTGTGCTCTTTCCAAGTCAGTGACGGAGATCGTTGATCCAGAATTTGTTAGTCTTTATAAAGCGTGGGAAAAGCAAATTTAAACAAAAACGAGGCTGACAATTCCAGATTATTAATTGGTAGGAAAACATGCATGTATAACGCGGGGAATTTCCCATTATTCGATCTCCATTGTAGAAGACGAGTAATGATTGGCCCCTCAACCTTGTGTTTACCTCCACCTAACTAGGTCATGATTTTTAGCGTTCGGTGTGCAAAGCTTTCCTAATTTCTCTATTTTTGTTCTACTTCCTGGATATATCAGGTTGACAGTGACAGGTGATATGCACATCGTCGGCCGGGGATAAGAGGCGTTGACTCGACCTCGGGTGCTATCTTTTCCCAGGAGGGCATCTTCAATACAGCGAATGATGCTTGAAGTATCATTATGTGTGAGTGCATGCACAAAAGAAAATCGAGTTATCGAGTTTGCATTGCTTGACGAGATAAGAATAACAACAACAATAATAATAATAGTAATAATAATAATGCAACAAAAGTTCATTGCAGTACAACACATGTTGGTTTTAAACATTATTGGGAAAGTAACTCTGGCCTATGATTTCATACTGAACCTTTCATCAGCTGATATAAGAACCGTTTGAGTTCAGAAGTGAGTGAATGAGTTTTACATCGCTTTGAAGTGTATCTCAGGTGTATAACGGCGTGTCAGCTTGATGTGGGAGGAACGTCCGAGGTTATTAGATGTTTACCAACATGATGAAACCCACGTGCACGGGTGTAATGCCGACAAACCTAGAAACATATTCAGGGCGAATATGGGATTCGAGCTTCCCTGGACGACTGGCACACCGTACACTCTTTGAGATAAGGAAGTGGTTTGTGGTACCAGGACATTTTATTCAATGTTGCTCTGGAAAACACCGCGTCTTTGGCAAAGGTTCATATTCAGAAGTTTTTGTTTCCAAAATCTGGGGTAATGAATTATTGCGTTGCTATATTCGGGAAAATGGTTACGAAAGGTAGAATACCCTACGGTAATTGCCATTATGGAATTATATATACAGACCTTGTCCACTAACAGGCAACACATTGGGCGAGTGAGTCTGGGCTGTACTCACAGGGAGCACTGCTACTAAAGCTACGTCAGGGGAGACATCAAGAATGGGTTTCACATTCATCCCAATGTTGGAAATCGAACCCCATCTTGAAGGTGACGAGTAAAAAACTTCAACACTTGGCTCGCCATCACCGTCGTCTTCATACAAGTGTCAATGACATTTTGAACATTTTGACGTACATTTTGAAATGCTTGTGTCCGCTACAAAAACGTTCACAATTTTTATTCTGTCATGTCATTTGCTTTGATGCACGAGTGTGGTGAGGATCCATAACTTCACCACACTCTAGTCAATAGATCGTCTGCCACGAGAGCGAAAAGGTTGGTAGGTTCGATCCCCTGGCCGCGTCATACCAAACGTGCGTTAAAAGAAGGTAATTGTTGTTACCCTGTCTGGCGCTCGGCATTAAGGTGATAAAACCAGGACTGATCGGCTCAGAGATTGAATACTGTATCTGAATTGGGTATGCATGTTAAGTACAGGTCCGCGAGTGCAATAATCTTGTACGCGACGTTAAACCCCATTTCACCACACTGTACGGAAATATATTCAAAGTGTTCAGGTGCATGTGAGTGAATGGGTGAGTATGGTTTTACGCCGCCTTTAGCAATATTACAGCAATATCACGGCGGGGGACACCAGAAATGAGCTTCACACATGGTACCCAAGTCTGGAATCGAACCTGGGCCTTCGGCGTGACGAGCGAATGCTTTAACCACTGGGCTACCCGACCGCCCCTGCTTGGGAATATATAACCCAGTTTATAGTTTTAATCACGTAAATATACAATATATAAATCTGACAAATTAAAAATAATCCTGTTCTGTTCTCTTCGAAGCAGATACCTCAAAACATTTTCCCTTGGAGTTTTAAGGCACTGGTATTGAATTGTTTCCAATTTGGAATTTCAAATGATATTAAGAGGGGATCGCACAGTGTTTAAAACATTGGTTCAACTCAAAGGCCGGGGTTCGATTCCCCACATGGATGAAGACAACATTTGAATGCCATTTCTGGTGTTTCCGATGTGCTGTTACAACAAGATTGCTAAAAACTGCAAACTATTTTATTAATATGAATTAAAATCAAATTTAAACTTTAGGCGACGGCAGCGCAGAATATCACCGTCATGGGTAAATTAAACAGGGAAAGTTCATTTCATAAAGTCTGAGTATGTGCCGGGGAAATTGGAAGATGATTATGTCTCTTGTTTGTCTTCCCTGTTGTTAGACAAGTATTAACGTGTATTAAATGAAGCTCCACTCTTCAAGGAACTCTTCCTGAGCTCACGACTTTCCTTACTGACCTTTCCTGCAAACTTTAATTACTGACACAACAACCTCAAAATGACCTTTCGCATAGAAATGAAAAGTTACATTCAATCTACCTCTGATGATTTGGATACGTTGGTTTATTGAGTGCAAACGTGTGTTGCGAATTGATGAAGATACAAATTATTAGAAGAGAACACGGAATAGCTTTCTCCGGCAGATGATGGAGAGAAATGCAATGGTGTCACTGCATGCATGTTAAGTTATTGATCAGCTTAACGTCTTGCTCCTCGCAGTCAGTCCCTTCGGGGTGCATTCAAATGTGTTTGTGTGTTTGTATATCGTGTTTTTGTTGCAGAAATAAAATATTAGGTTTGAAAATTGAATTGAAATTACTATTATACTTAATTCATCCAAGTCGTATTTTTCCCGTGTTTGTGTCTTTTTCTGAAACGGTAAAAATATCTACAATTTGCGTTGTTATGACACTAATACTGTTTGAAGTCAATTTGAATTACATTTGAATACAGAGTGGTGACGTAGATGCATTAATGTTTCATAATATATGACATATATTCTTTGAAGGGTGAGTGATTTGGTTTGTTGGTAAACCTCCCACAATATTACAACGGGGATTCAAGACCTGGTCTTCACGCTGTACCCATATGGCGAGTCGAACTCAAGCCTTCGATGTGACGAACAAACGGTTCTACCACAAGGCTACCCCAACGCCCTTAACCGGCAGGATGCCATAGGAGGTGAAATGGGGTTTGTCAATTCAATTCGATTTATTTCGTAAGTGTAGGCCATCGGCCCATTGTTTCATTTGTATTACAATGGACGTAAATGGGGTTTATCGTCGCGATTACTGTACTCATATAGTGACGAGCATGCACGCACGTGTGTGTGTGCGTGTGTGTGCGCGCGTACGTGCGTGCGTTCGTTCGTTCGTGCGTGTGTGCGTGAGTGTGGCTGCTTGTACTCCGTACTACTGCCGGTTTTAAAGTGCTAGCTCACTGAGATACCATGTCAAAATTTAACATAGATATCCCACTTAGACAATATACTGACTCTGAGCCGGCCACTCGAGCACTCTCACTATCATGCCAAGCGCCAGGCAGGGAAACAATAAGTCCAGTCAGGGAATCGAACCATCGAACATCCTCTCTGAATTACACAGGAATGATCACGAGTTATGTATGAATCATACGCATGTTTCAACTATGTTGAATCAAAACATGTTAATGTAACTCGCGTGGATGTTCGATAACAACGTCGATAACGATTGAGAAAGGCAGGTCTACGTTTAAGAATGAGTGAGTGAGTTAGATGTAACGCCGTTCAACAGTATTTCAGTTATTCCACACCGCGTCTGCTTGATGTGGGAGGAAAACCCGAAGTAATGCAGGTCTTTGTTATATAATACCTTCGTGAGAGAAGGTTTTCAACTTGTCTCGCCCATCGCCCTAGAGTCATGATCGCTTAATTTTGTAACTTAACTATTTTCGTCAAAGATGGTTTTCTCCGTAATTTTAAGTAAGTATTTTGAGTTTCCTGATTGTAAAATATTTCAAAATGTTATTATCGCAAACCTCAAACCTTCGGTCTTTTCTAAAACAGAAAACGGTAAACAGGGATGTGAGGTGAGGTGAAATGGGGTTTAACGTCGCGTCAAAGATTATTGCACTTATATAGCGACATGCATGTACGTGTGTGTGTTTGTGTGGCTGCTTGTACTAGACCGGACTGATGCCGATTTATAGTGCTCGCTCACTGAGATACCAAGCCGCAGTTTAACATCAATACCCCACTCAGACACAGTATACTGACTCCGAGCCGACCTAGCGCCTTAATGCCGTGCGCCAGACAGGGTAACAACAAGTACCATCTTTTAACGTCTTTTGGTATGACACGGTCGGGGATCGAACCCCGGACCTTCCGCTCTCCGGGCGATCGCTCTACCACTAGACCACGGAGGCGGTCGAAACAGGGATGTATTCTAATTAACTAAGGACCAACAGAAACAATACCTCTAAGTTCGTATGTTCGTATGTTTGATTTTTAATGAAAATATCTTAAGTTAGCGAGGGGGCATAGGTGGCCCAGTCGTCTAAGGCGCCGCGATTCGCTGTGCAGAGTTGCGTCCCTTGGGCACGCCAGAAACCTATGATTGTGGGTTCGAATCCCGGTTCATCCCGATTATGTTTCTAGGTTTGTCAGCACCATACCCGTGCTCGTTGGTTTCACCGAAGTGGTAAACATCTGAGACCTGCATCACTTCGGGCTTTCCTCCCACATTAAGCTGACACGCCGTGATATAACTGGAATAATGTTAAAAGCGGCGTTAAACCCAACCCACTCACACTCACTCACTTAAGTTAGCGATATTATATCCAACATATGAATTGTACTGGCACTTAGTCTGCACTCAAAGAATACTTCTACGTGGTTTCAGTTCTTAAAATACAATTTATTAAAAAACTTTAAAACACTATTTAAAACAAATTCGGATAATTCACAACAGCTGATGGATATGTTATCTTAGAAAATCAATAAATGTGCTTTTTCGGGACAAATGTACATTTCAAACATGGTAGGGTCATGTAATTGCAAATTCATTTCTTGCTTAAGACTTCATTGAACCAATATAATATTTCGCTCACAATTCCACAACCACTGACTCTTTACAAACTG